CCCCCGCAAAGGTAGCTGCCCTGGTCACCCCCCAGAACCCCTTCCTGTGGTATCTCCTCCTTGTCTCTTCTTCTCACCCACTACTTCCTCATTGCTCTGAGATTTTAAGAAGAATTTATTTGATAGAGGGTATATCTACATGAGAGACTTTACTACACACTAGACCAATCTAATGTGCAGTAGAGCATCACTGTCTACATGTGCACAGCAATTACTGTGCAAGAGTTTAGTCTAATGTGCCATTTTCTAGTACCTGTAGATACTAGAATGTGTAGTTCTGATGGAGAGGAAATTGCTGGTCTTTGGTATCAGGGAAGCAGCAACAGGAGGCCACAAGGGGTGGGGAGAGCTGTCCCAGCTCGGGGGGGATGCTGCCTGCCAGCTACATAGAGACGGGACCCATCCTGATCTCCACATGGCTGGGAGAGCTGTCCTGACTGCTGGGCAGCTGCCTGCTAGCCACATGGAGATTGGGATGGGTCCTGATCTCCAGGTGGCTGGCAGGCAGCTGTCCAGCATCTGGGACAGCTCTCCCCTGTCCCATGGGGATCGGGACCAGCCCCCATGCACCCTGCAAGCCCAGGGCTGGCACCCAGGAGATTCTGGAGCTCCCTCTGGCTGTTGCAGGGAGGAACAGCAAGGCAGGAGCATCCCTAGACTGAACTGTTCCCATCAGAAGCAAATTTGCTCCTTTAGGGGGCATAGTCAGATGCATGTAGGGGCGCAATTGAATGCCCCTAAATTTTCAGTGCAGAAAATTCAGGCACATTAATTGCACATATAGACATGCCCAGAAACTCCAAACAAGTGGCTTCATACCTAGTTTTCTCTCTGTTAATGTCAAAGCAGAGGGAACAAAATGCCTGAGTGTGACCTTATCTTCTCACTTTTTAATTCTGTTCGTAGTATGTCTGCCATGGGGATGATTCAGGATATTAACTTGTCTAACTGGCTGCTTCAGTAGGCAGGCTGGAGGCTTTCTAAAGTTTACAAAACTTCTCAGTGGACTGTCTGTCCTTTTGCAGTTTATAATGCCCTGAGGATCAACCTACGGGCAAAAATCAGTGTACAGCTTGCTGGTCAGCTTGACAAAAAGCAAGCAATACATTGAAGCATCTGCCTCTTCCCCTTGGGGGGTGGGAAGGTCTATGAGATGTGTTCAATAATGTGTGAGGAAGCTGCTGACTTGACATGAGATGTCACTGAGGCAGTTTTAATCTAGTGCCCCAAGGATGCATCATTTGTACAATCACAGAACAGCAATAAAAGCTGGAAAAAAACTATTAATAATCTGGTCTGGGGCCCTGCCAATGCAGCAATGTTCCTTTGACTGTAGTTTTTAATGCTTTTTCTGTTATGCCTTTCAGTGTTACAAGCAATGGGATAGCTCTTCCATTTAACATCAGAGCATTCTTTTTTTTTTCTGGTACAGTGTTTAGCTTCTGTTTATCTTTTCTTAATGTTGTACCATTACTCCAAGCTCTATGAATGTCCCATGTTTCCCTAAGTAATTCAGCTCCATCCACACATGGGTAAGCAGAAAGGCCCCAGTTCCTTCCCTACTTGTGTCTGTGCCTAGAGTGTAGCAGTATGCCACTGGATAGTACCATTAGAAAATTACTGTTTTCCCCAGACCAGATAAGGCTCTGTTCATTCCTGCCTGTTCCCCAAATGCCTGCAAGAGAGGTGGATGGGATGAAGCACGAACTCACTCCTGTATCCCTGGCCCAAAATCCATATACATATGCAGGGGCATAATGAGATATAAGAGAGTGAGTGCGTATTCTCTATCCCTTTGCAGTATGCTGCAGCCCTGCAGTCCAGCTAACAGTGTGGCCATAGACTTCACAATTTATAGTCAGTGGGAGGTTAATAAGAGGCACTTTATAAATCTTGAAATGCAGTCATCTCTGGCATTTAATGCAGCAGGAACCCAATAGTTCCCCTCAAAATATGTGAGTAATAGGCATTGTAGCCAACAGGAATTACATGCATCCTAAGGAAAGAGGAGGAATATTGGGTTCCTCCAGTTTAACAGCACATACTAAAACTAGAGAGAGGTAGTTAGCTGTGTTAATCTGTAGTCATGCAGAAGGCATGGCGGGGATTCACCTTAGAGATGAACTGGTTCAGAAAGGCATAAAGCTTTTGTAGGCCATAGTCTAGTTTGTCAGATGTCATTCATAGCATTTGATGAAGCAGGCTGTTGTCTATGAAAACTTATATATTTCTGAACAGTTAGTTTCTAAGCGTGCTTGTACACGAGTGGGGAGGCTGCTCCAATGCGTTATAATTACAGCACATCAGAACAGACTTGATTAAGTGGAGAGTGGTAGTTACCATGCTCCAGCAGCCTCCTGTGCCCCCTGGTTGGCACTGGACAGGCAATTGGAGGAGAGGTCCAAGTGAATATTTGCTGGTAGTGTAAGAGTGATGTTGTAACTGTGATGGTCCAGAAATTATGCCAGAGGTAAGGATTTCTTAGGGTGAAATCTTGTATTGGACCAACAGTATATCTGGGATAGGGTTACTGAATTACTGTGCAGCTATTCTGGAGTGAGAAGTAGAAGAGAGAAAAGAACAGCTCAAGGCTCCTACATTGGCTCCTACAAAGGCAGATTGAGGGAAATTAAATACAGCCACAGAGCAGAATAGGTAAAAAGGAACACACTGACATTTTTAAGAGGTAAGTCAAGAGATGGTGAAAGTGCTTAGGATCATGCAAGAAGCATGCACCATTTTCTGAATGGAGTTTGAACAATATACGTCATGCCTGTTCACAGAACAGTCCGGGGGTTGTGCTCCATGTGCATCCCACTTAACTCTAGTTTTTTAAATAGTGTGTAAACCCTGCATTGGTCTTCTGCACAGAGGTGAATTTCACCCTAGGGTTTACAAATTCCAGTGAAGGGAGATTGTAAGGTGCCATGATGATGGATAAAATTGTCCACTTGGGCTCATAGTGTCAACAAATAATATATATGGCTTCTTCATCACAGGAAGTACGGCTGAAAACTTCACGTTGCTTATTTTTATTTTTGGAATGTCAATCTGGTTATCAATACCACAGCATTTTTACTGGGCTGATCAGTGAAAGCAATACTCTCACAGACACTGTCAGTATCACAGTTGTAGTTTCCATATGGATAAATCAGCATTCAGCTCTATGATCTAAGTGCAACCCTTTCAAACTGAATATACGAATTCACATAAAAGGTTCAACTGATGTAACTTTCCTCAATAATTGCCTTGAGTAAGGCTGGTCAAAAAAATTCTGTCAAAGTTGGCTTCTGGAAGAAACTTGACTTTATGACTAAACAAAATATTACATGAAGAGTTGTTTCTCCACTTTCAGTTTCCTCAAAACATCCAGTGCTTGAAAACTGAAGTGCTTTGCACTGTCATATTTGGACTTGAAGATATCACCGTAGTGCCTCATATGTGTTGTAGTTCAGTGCACTCTTCTCAGTGGGCTGGGCTTGCCAGCCAGACTACATCTCCTATCTTGCACCATCTCTAGTCCCTTCTCTTCCATCCAATGATGCACTATCTCCCTGGTCTGAAAAAGGAGACCCTGATGTATAATAGGGTAATATATTCCAGCCAGGGAGCTCAGCCTCTAGAGAAGGATGGAAATATCAGGCACCTAAACTACAATGCCCAGGTGACACCATAGCAATATTTCCAAAGCAAATCATTTCTGGTTTTGGCTTAAATATTTTGGCTTCAGACAAGTGTTTTCAATTTTTTGCTAAAATGTTTTTGTGCTGAATTTTCACTGAAAGTGAAATTTCCCATGAGGGAAATACTTTTTTCCTGACCAGCATTATACCTGAGTAACTTTGCCTCCATCTTCAGAATAGAGATGCTGGATAATCAGCTTGCTTCCAGCACAACATGATGGATCAGGACAGAGCTACACTAACCTGTGCTCAGTTCCCATTATAGTGCCACCAGTCCCACTGCTGCAACTGGAAAAGTGCTGCACCCGCAACAACAGTGTGACACTGGCCTGGAGGATGCCACCTTTTAGCCACAACCCCGTGGAAGGTTATATCTTGGAACTTGATGATGGAGACGGTGGCCAATTCCGTGTGAGAACTTCATTCAGCCTTTATTTTTATTTTTTTTGGTGGGGGAAGGGGGGTTGCATTGCTCTTTCTTGCTGTTCAACTATCATAAGGACATGGATATTGAGAATGAGGGCATGTCCTCTAATTCATTCTTCCTTTGGTAGCATGGGGCCAATGAGCTGTTCCACCCTCCATGTCAAAGTTTCTTTGGAAGATTCTCCAGCTAGCGTGATTTGCTTCTGTGCCGCCTTTCTGCAGCCTCTGGCACAGAGGTCTTGTTGGGTGAAAAATGAAATACCAGGGTACTGCTGCAAACCCCGGTTGGCAGGTAGCCCCTTCTAGGACAACAGCCAATGCTGTAGGTTAGGAAAGTCCCAAACCTGCTACCAGGAAACTGAGTCACCTTTGTAGCCTCCCTCTCAGCTGCACCCAGCAACCAGTGGCATCAACTAAGAACCTAAATCAAGACATGCAATCCTGGAGCAATTTTACTGTTTCTACTTTTCCAGGTAAAAAAGACTTTCATCCTAGGGTCTCAAAATTGTTTATCTGACGATGGGTGTGAGCCAGCTGGCTGACATGGAACCCAGGCAAGACTGAGGTGATAAATCCTCTTTAAAACAGTATTTCCACCATTAATTATTGGAGTTTCCTATTTAGGGGTGTTCCTAGACACCCAGCTGCTGATTGAAAATCATAGCACAGAAATGACTGATTCGGCTGCTTGCTGTCTGTGTCTGGCTGAAGAATGTGACATGCTGCTCTTCAGGGTTTTGTTACCTTGAATTAGACTACTGTGATGCACTTGCACATGAAGCAACAGTGACATAACATGCAGAGTTTCTGCACAGGGCAAATGGGGGCAGGAGGAATGGGGTCCAAGAGATGAGAGGGAGGAGGAGGGGCCTCAGCAGGGGTTTTTTTGGCTGGGCAGGGTGAGGTGTAGCACTTTTACCCATGCCAGGAGCTCCACAGTCCTGGCTGAGCTGCTGCTGCCAGTACATGTGCTCTGCCTGCTCTAGCTGTCGCTCTTACAGCAGCAGTAACTGGAGTTTCCAGTGTAGCCATGCTGCTGGGGAGCAAACTCTGCAGCGATGGGAGGAAAGTCCCATGCCCCTCTTAACTTGGTGCCCAGGGAGGGACCCCCTCTCTCCCACTCCTGGTTATGGTGCTGTGAAGCAATGACTTAATACCTTTGATTGCAGAGTACAGCAAGTTGCTTATGGCATGAGAGCATATGAAACAAGTGCTGGCACTGGTTGCTTAAACCCTAAGGCAGGGTTTAATGGTTAGTTATAAACCCCTAAATGACCTGAATTTGGCCCAGCTGAGGGATCACCTCTCTGCCCATGCCATACTGCCATAATTGAGGTCAGCAGAAATGCCTCAGTTGGATTCCCCTTATTATAAAAGAGATGGGCAGCTAGCAGGTTGCCTTCTGCAAGGGCACTAAGACTCAAGAACTTAGTCTCACCAGTTTTATTCACCTGAAATAGCCTGAATTTGGTATCATTCTAGTATGCTGCAAAAGCCACCTGGTTGACTGGGTTTTGGAAGAGGTAGAACATCTGGTCCTACTATAATGAAACTAGGAAGTAGTCCCCTGATTGCCTGGGATCCTGTTGAAATGCTCTGGGATTTCAGTATATTATCAATGATGTGTTTGGGTTCCTACAGTCATAGTATAGATGCCTTAACTATTATTTAGAACAAAATATATTTAAAAAATACATTCTCAACAATTTGTCATGTGATTTCAAGTCAGGATGGCCATAGTTTCCAAAGTAGGACATGTCCAGGTCTGTCTCTCTATTGGATAGATTTTGCAAACCTTGGGCCTGCAGGATTATTCTTGCTATGATCTCAAGATTTTGGAAATAGAAAATATCAATCTCATTTTTTTCAGATTCCAGGGTTACAGTCTTTCCATTGAACATTTGGCCTGAATTGCTGTGATACAACCACCATACACTTGAGTTGTTTTAAAATAAATTGCCTGCTACTTGGGAACTGTCATTCCTATAAAACTATGCCTGCCATGTATATGATATAAATTATGTCAACATTAATAACATCATCTGGATTTCCTCCAAGGTTTTATTAGTATCTTGCCTGTAGATTTTAAAAAACAGACTTTAGTCCTCATCACAGCAAAAGCTCTATTTCTGAGTGAACAGAGGCAGTAAGCAAAGGTATAAAAACACCAGAACTGGCCAAAAATCACTATTTAGACCAAAAACAAAATATATTTTGTAAAATGTAGATAAATTAAACTGTTCCACAAGAACCTTTGTTTCTCTCATCATAATACAAAAGATATCAGGGCTCCATAGACTCTTTACTGTGTTGTCAGTACAGGTCCCAACTCAGCAAAATACAGACACCCTTGCCTGACTGTAAGCAGAAGTAATCCCTTTCCTATTTAGCATATGCTTAAGTCTCACTAACTCCAAAGGGACTACTCCTGTTTGTAAGATTTGGCACCTTACTAAACCTGGATCTAAGGGTGTAAGCAGGTGTCATGTTTCTTCTTTGTGACACAAAGGGGAAGTAAATAGATACCCATACCCTTCATCATGCCACAATGTGGTCATGACATGAGGTAATAACATGTGGCACTTTGTTGTGGAGGACTTCTATTTGCTTTATGGCAGGAAAGCGGCAGGAAAGCATGGGCAGCCCAGAGCTGCCTTCATTCTCTAGCCATCCCAGACTGATGCTTCAGAAGTTTAAGGGGCCCGATCCTGTGCATGCTGGGAATTCTTGGGCGCTATAATTTCCAGGGTGCACTTTGATAAGTGGGAAAGTCAGGGTTTCTTCACTTACCACGACGTGCCCCTGGGATCGATAGAGTATGCCTCAGTAAGTGGGGAAAGCCAGGCAGGTGCTTCCAGTGCTTGAGGGGCATGATGCTGCTAAGGAATTCATGGGGTGCACTGGACCAGACCTCTCAAACCCCAGGAGAATGTGTCACTCATTGTCTTGCAGCATTTATGATGGGACAATGGGTGACATGCATTTGGCCCAATGAACCGGATCAGCAGTGCTAAGATATATCCTGGCTCAGCTGTTCTGCTTCATTTGGTGACATCTTTTTCTACCATAAGTGCACTGCTGAGTCAGGGCCTTACACTCCTTAGAGACTTAGCTACTGTAAAACTATGGATTTCACAGTGGTATAGAAATTAAATGTGAAAAGTCCTAGCAGTTATGTAGTCTATCCTTTTTGTATCTGACATCATCTACTGCTACAGATCTTGTATTAAAAATGCAATTTATTCCACTCCCCTACAGACTTATAACTGTCAGACAGGCCTTGGTTATATTCTGCTTTGATTTTTGTTTTTCTTTATTTCCTCCCATTACTCATCTCCTTGCTGTTTACACCCCTTAGATCTTTAGAGAGATTTATCCCATCCCTCTCTTAGTTGCTGTTTGGCCAACTGAGACCTACAAAGCTCTTCTGATCTTCATAAATTAGAATCCCAAAGCTTTGTATTTACTGCTTACAGATTTGATATAGGTTCTAAAACTATGTAAGGATGCTTCAGAAATCCTCACAGGAGGATGGAGACAGACCTCCAAAAATAATAGCATGATATATTTCAACATCCACTTTTTAAACTCACCCTCTCTGTCTCCATTACAGTTAATCTTCCTGGGCTTCTTTCTCCATGATGAACTTCACTGAACATAGCTGCCCTTACTATAACAACATAAACCCCTCAAAGCAACAAATAATTTTTACTTGTAACTTATGTTTAAATATCTTATTGTAAGATCCTCCATTGAAAAAAGCTGGTGAGTTATGTCCCTGTCTTTCTGAATGTCTAGGAAGTGTATGTTGGCAAGGAGACACTATGCACTATTGATGGCCTTCATTTCAACAGTACCTACAATGCAAGAGTCAAAGCTTTCAATTCATCAGGAGTTGGCCCTTACAGCAAGACAGTTGTTTTACAGACATCTGACGGTGAGTTTGTTTCTTGTTAATGGAAACAGAGTCCCTGTTTTTAGTGGCCAGATGTTCACATTCCATTAAATCCACCAGCATTCTTGGCCTTAACTTGCATTCAGATTTTTAATAAGCTCATATGAGCGGCCAAGGACTGCATGTGGATAGGGCTGCATGTGGATAGGGACTGCTCTTCCCTGTCATCGCTACATATTGAAACTCCAGGTCAGAGCTGAAGAACATCAGTGGGGGAGGTTAAAGATATTCCTGCTCTTGTAATCCTTTCAGAAGACAAATAAAAAACTTCATAGCCCCTTCCCTTCCCTTCTCTTCAGTCTATGTAATCTCTTGATACACCGGTATCTGTACTAATATCTCTGTACACCCTTGACACACTCTAATGCTTGCATATATGTTAGAAGTCAGACAGGTTAGACATGTCAAACAGAGATTCTCAGATAAAGGCACAAAACTTTTTGCATGGGTGTAAGTGAATTCATCTGGCAGCAACTCTCCATGTTTTGAAATAACAGAAGTGCGTCTGTTTGTGGAGGCTTAATTAAAATAAATGTATTTGCCTTAACACACATAGGCAATTTCACAACATACTGTGAATATGAATATGCCACTCCCCTATCTCTACCTCTCTTTGTGTCCTGGTTATTTCAGTGTTTTCTTCACAACTGATACTAATTTCACAGTAACGTTTGATAAGATATGGATGGTAATTCATGCTGTGTTCTTATATAATTACTATTGACATCCATATAGGTACAACAGGAAGTTTATCTTGATTAATGATGCTGTAATGAATACAGAAGTACATAGTATTATGGCTTCCTTATTTCTACCATGTTGCCAAAATAAGCCAGTATAAAATATTATTTATACTTGGAGAATTTTTAAAACAAGCCAATGAAACCCACTGGTAATGAACTTAAATACAGTAAGATCCAATTTCCACTAGAGACAGGGCCTAAAACACACCTGTATCTGAAGAGCCCCCAAACTCTGCGTAAAGCCAGAGCCTCATTACATTTGTCTATTAGCTGTGTAGCACCAGTGAGATGCTGCTTTCTGGACAAGACTCCATCAGAGAACATTTGTGTTCCACAGGACTTACGTTCAAAGAGACAGGCACAGATAAACCACTCTGGATGAATTACATTTAAGTAACATGTGAAATCAAATGGATTGAAAAACAACTCACAAGTGTTACTCGGTATGTAAATTATGGACAGGGGGTCTTTCTTTTCACCCATCAAGAGATGCAGTCACCTCTGAGATGAAATACAACTGTATACTTGTGCACAGCAGTGTTGCACAATAATCTACAATAATGTGGGGAGAATGTCTCCTCTTGGAAGTGCCGTGAGAATTTAGGATGGGAGAAACTTACCCCTCCCTCCCACACCCCACCCCTTTGGTGCTATTATTTTAATGCAGCTTATTCTGCTATTTTTATTTTTTTGCACAGTGGCCTGGTTCACCTTCGACCCTTCTTCAGCCCATAGGGATATAGTCTTGTCCAATGATAACCAGACAGCCACTTGCAGTAGCTATGATGACCGTGTTGTTCTGGGCACAGCAGCATTCTCCAAGGGAGTACATTACTGGGAACTGCATGTGGACCGGTATGATAACCATCCAGATCCAGCGTTTGGAATTGCCAGAATTAATGTAGTCAAGGACATGATGCTAGGGAAGGATGACAAGGCATGGGCCATGTATGTGGACAACAACCGGAGCTGGTTTATGCACTGCAATTCACACACCAATCGGTAAGCTCTGATTGCAGATTCCTCTCCTAACTTGATTTTTTGTCTCTGAAGTAAAGCACTGTTTGAAATGCAAGAGCTTTTACACTGTTGCAGGGATGCAGTAGTCATGGTTCATTCTATTCTCTGGGATTATTTTTGGCCCCAGGGAACAGTTACAATTGGGCAAACACTCACTCCCATTGAATTTTGTCTTAAATGATGATATTTATTGGCAAGTGCTAAAAACTGATTAAACTAAGAGATTGGCAGTGCCTCAGGGCAATTTGGAGGCAAACAAATGGGAGTGCCTTGCAGTGATGAACAGTGAGCATGTCTACGCGAGATGATTAATAGTAAATTAGCATAGTTTACTATGAAATAAGCATGTGCATCTCCACGTGCACATGCTCACTTCATGGTAAATCTCCCTAATGCCAAGTAAATTTGCTACCTGCAAATGCAAGTAGCAAATTTACTTAGCATTAGTAACAGTGCTGTAGTGCTCATATAGAAGCCTGATAGGAGCCAAATCTGCTCCCGATCAGCCATTCACCAGGGGGTAGGAGATAGCTCCCTGCCCCTAGGAGCTATCTACTGCTGGGTTGGACTCTGCCACAGGAGCCCCAGCAGGTAGTATGTTCCCCTGCCCCAGCAGCAGAGAGCTCCAGGCCCCCCATACCAAGATCACAACTGGGGAGTGGGGGGTGGGAGATAAGGATTTTTATCTCCCAGCCCCTGATCCACCATCACAATCAGGGAGCAGGGGCTGGAAAACACTTACCTCTCAGCCTGAGTTCCATGGTCTGGAGGGGGGGGTCAGGATGGGAGATCCTTATCTCCCAGCAGCAGCTTTGTGACCAGGGAGCTGCTGCTGGAAGATGCTTATCTCCCAGCCTAAGCCCTGCAGTTGGAGGGCTTGGGCTGGGAGACCCTTATCATCTCCCTGCTGGTGGGGGCTAGGGAGCTTGTTCCCTGCCCAGCTTTGCAAGTGTGGAGCTGGGGGCAGAACAGGCTCCCCACCTTGTTCCCCCCAGCTCCACACTCACAAATCTGGGTGGGGAACAAGCTCCCCAGCCCCCACTCTGCAATTGCAATTGCGATCATAAAGCAGGGGCTGGGAGCTCCCTGCATGGGGACAGTTCCCCACCCAGTCCGGAGCTGGCTGGGAACTGCCCCTGTGCCCCAGTTGGGTGATCAAGGCATGCGGCTTGGAAAAAGCTGCAGAGGTGGGGCAGGTCCCAGCCCCCTGCCCCAATCCACCAGTGGGGCAGCTAGCAGCAAGCTAGCCCCATAAGTTACACCATAAGCCCCATAAACCACACCTTGGTGTGGCCTCATAAGCCACATCAAGGTCAGGCACAGCCCCCTCAAGATGCATACCTTGCTGTGCCATCTAGCTATCATCCCCATGCTTGATGACAACAACAAAGTATTTTTAAAAAGCCATCTTGGCTCATGGTCCATTATAGATTGATGAAAAAGTGTAAGGGTCTGTGCCAAAGCCTGCTGAAGTCACTGGGCATGTTGCCATGGGCTCTGGATCAAGCCCTAACCCAATAGAGCGTACAATAACAGAAATGTGATAAATGATATTAAAACATGTTTGTCTCCATCCCTTGAACATTTTGATTAGTCATGGGACAGTGTTATAGGAATATTCCATGAAAGAGCTTATGTTTCCAGAAATATGAGCTGGCAAATATCCTTTTAATACTGTCTTAAAAACCTATTTTATAGATTTGGTTCTTGGGGTGTGCTTTCAGTCAGGCAGTCTGTTTTACTAGGTAGTAGAGGAGCTTAGCAAAAGCCCTTTACTCCCATAAAGAGCGAACAAAGGAATCCTTTTGGTTTGCTGGTCATTCTACATAAGCAAGAGAATAAAACATCACCCATTGATGGCAAATGGTCAGTTGTTGCACTCACCAAAGGAAAATAAAACAGTTTTACAGGAATAGCTGAAGGATGGAGAGACTGATGAAATATTCTCTGGAACAGATCTCTACTGCAAAGGGCACATTATGCCTTGAAATCCCATGCATTTTAGAGGAATCAGGGCTAGGTGTTATATTTTTAATTATGGCCACCGAGAAGGTCAGTTTGTTGACAAATTGACTTCAGTTGTCTTTCACAGAGGTAGAGTCTGCTTAATTGTTATTTCCTAGAGGAAATAAGAAGACACCACAGAGCAATCATACCTTTAAAAAATATACTAAAGATTGTGAGACTCATATACTATACTAATGATGGCCATATCTCAAAGAGCAATCATTTCATCCTTCAAGAACTTCATAGCAATACGTCAGGGCATTGGAGAAATGAGTGGCTCTGAAAATAAACATAAGAGCATAGTGGAAGTGCCTCTTGCTAAGTGCCTCTCACAAGTTGAAAGTGCACTCTGTTTCCATGGACTCAGCATCCTAACAGGGCTCTAAAACATTTAAAAAGCCAGCGGGATCTGACTGATGCATTTTAGTAACCATAGCAGAGCAGAGAAGCTGCCTTACAGGAACAAAAAGAGACACAGAAGCAGCAACACAAAAGATGTGCCAGTAAATACCAGTTCACATTAGTTTAACTGCAGGAAATGGCACAAACACAGCAGATGTGCCCCATGCCCAGGGTGTAGAGCCCCTGAAGTTCATTGCAATGGATCTGTTCCCTGGCAAGATTTTTTGGTAAGGAAATGTACCCATTACATGTGCAAACTATTCCAAACCCTGTATTGAATTGTAAAGAAGGCAAAAATAAAGTCCCTAAGAAGAACTCATGTCTGAAATGTGCTACAGGTAAATAACTGACAGTGGGGAGGGAAAAGCCGCAAGAGGCTTCTTGAGAACCTGCTTCAACCATTTGGGTCAATGTCCATTGAAGTCAGAAGACATCTTCAGTAATTCCAGAGGGTTTTGGACCAGACTCTGAGTGAAGTCAAGTAATGAGGAACTGAAGAATATCAGCTTTACCAATAAAAACCAGATAGTTCCAAGTTATTGTGAAATAAGCTTATAATACAAATACTGACTAGTTTGGTTGCTTAACCCATTGTAAAATATGAAATTTTAGGACTCATCTTACAATAACCACAAAGTTTCCTGCAACTTTCTAAAGCCAATACTTCCAGACCTGAGGAAACTGGCCTTACCTCAGATGAATAGACCCTGCTGGCAGAGAGACTATTCTCAGAGGCCACGTTACTGTATCTTTACTTTGGAGGAGTAGTACCTTGCAGGGTTATTCACAGAGTAAGATATAGTAGCACTTAGTGGTTCTGAGCCTGTAAGCACTGATTTACATGCTTAATGTGAGCCTCACAAGTAAATACATGTCTTCAGGACTGGGGTCAGTGTAAGTGAGGGGGAAAGGACTGCCACCTAATTAGTCATAGAAGACAGTAGGTTCTCATCTAGCAGGTATGTTTTTAGGTGTCTAGACGAATTATAAACAACAGTTGCAGTTTCCCTTTCAGTGTTCATTGCTGATTAAGTGGCTTCATGTACAGAGTAATGCTGAACATTAGCGCTGTGTTATAAAAGGCAATCTCCACTGTTCCCAAAATATTCCTTTTTGTTTTGTCCATAAATGTGGCTTAACAAGAAGCATTTTGCGTGTGCATAATGATCAGATCAGTGCAGAGGTTTGATAGTTTTTCCAAATGATTGTATTAGCAGAAGATGACATGAGTTGAGGGCCACTAGGTTTCTAACCTGTGAATGAAGCATTCAAGAAAAAAAACCCAAATGTTAAGAAGTAACAAGGAAAGAACTGACAATCAGATAGGAAAAGCTGTCCTCTGGTGAATTTGAGGCTTGAGCCAAAGTACACTGAAGACAGAAGAGATTATTCATTAAAGCTGCAAAGGAAGCTTGCAAAAGTCAAGAGAGGAACCACTTGGGAGCTGTCCATGCAACTTTCACATGCCCACCCCTCCAGTTAACTGGTGTGACTAAGAGGTTGGTTCCTCAAACAGTGAAAAACAGGAATAACAGGGGTATATCTGTACTGAGATCCTTTGCCTTGGCAGCAGCTTCCTCTTCCTTCCTTAGGGCTGTGTGAATGATTGATTCTTTTGCTTAGGTGGCTGAACTGAAAAATCAAAAAGGAGAAAGAAAAGAACTTGTTTTTGGTTGCCCTGCAGCTGCTAAACTCATTTGTTTTAGACTAAATGAAGTGAACTGTGGGGGCAAGGGTCACAAGAGGTATGGATGCCATTCACAACTCGAGATAATGGTGCCCTCTTTACACCTCATAGCCCTGTTGAAACAGTAAGACACTCAGGAGGGTCTGGAAGACAGGGGTATAGACCCCTTTCCTCCTTGATTCAAAGCAGGGGTTTGAAATGGGAGCTCTCACCTGTCTGGAGAGTGTAAGGCTAAAGGGCCCTTTTCAATGAGTCTTACATACTCTTTGGGCTCAAGAGAACAAGTCAGTAGCTTGGTTGCTAAGACATGCATCTTGCAAGTGAGGTATCTAGGCTTCAGCCGCTGCTCCAGTGAATATCCAGAGCATTTACCTACAGATGAGTGCTTTAATGACTCTTTCAGGTGTGTTGGTTATAGCTATGTTGGTCTAAGGACATAGGCAGACAAGGTTCTTTGGGTAAATGTGATATCTTTTATTAGACCAACTAAATAGTTGGAAAAATTGTTCTTTGCTTTCAGACCCAAATACTCTTCCTCAGGCATTCAGGCATAGGGAAAGTCTGCTGGTGTTTGTGTGCTCTCCTGGGTGGAATAGAAGCCAATATGCAAAATGCAGGACTGTGAAAATGCAAATACATGGCAGTGAAGATCAGAGGGGATGGGAGACAATAGGTGTGAGATAGGTAGGTGGAGAAGGGACAAGAGAAGAGGATGTGGGGAGGAGGTATGTTGACCTGGTGATAAAATGTAGCTGGTAAGATGTTGAGATGTTACCTGGGGTTATTGGATGGCAGATAGATTATAATGTGCCATAAATCCATATTTAGTCCATAATTTTTTGTATCCAGTAGATTTATGAAGTGAAGTTCATAGACTTGGCTACGAAAGGTGTTTTGTAAATTCCCTTTGAGGATTAGAATTGGGAGACTGGAGAGAGAGTGGTTGTCTTATGAGAAATGTGCATCCACAGGTAATTGGGTATTTTTGTCTTTGATAGATTTTCAGTGTGTGTTCATTCTGGTACACAGGTATTGTTTGGTTTTGCCTACATATTTTCCATCCAGGCATTCAGTGCAGTGGATGAGATATTATATTTCTGGAGGTGTAGGTGTAAGATCCAGGAATGTTGATGGTTCTGTTGTGGGGCATAGTAATTGTGGGGGTGGTGGAGATATGTTGGCAGGTTTTACATTTCTTGTTCCAGCATGTTTTGAATCCATTTGATGTGTTTTGTGCCATTGGAACAGTGCTTCTGATGATGAGGTTGGCAAAGTTCAGTGCTTGTTCAAAGGCTAGAATGGGTGGTTCTGGGAAGATCTCTTTAAGAACTGGGTCTTCTTCTAGTATGGGTTGCACTTGTTTCAGGATTTTCTGTATAGGTTCCAGGGAGGGATGTGTCATAACTAGCGGTGTGTGATTCATGGGGAATTTTCTTTCTGTACTGCAGCAATACTTTATGTGTGCATCAGGGTGGCTCTTTCAAAAGTATGATCTAACTCTCTGGAGGACTCTGAATGACTCTTTTTCACTCTCTGACCAATGAATAATCTAATTATTTCTACAAAGGAGAGTAAAGCTTCAACAGGAGGGTTCAGGAAACACCCAGCCCTGCATACACTATAATCTAGTGGTTAGGGCCCTGCCTACCTCAGCCTACCTCTGTATT